CCTTACACCAGCACCACTCCCCAAACGAACGACGCCCAAAACACCGCAGCTCAGACAAGGTCAGAACGGCACACGAAGAGGTGTATCATACATGGCGCAAGAAAGGCTACATCGCAGGCTTCGAGCATGTTGGCGACGGTACAACGTTCAGTGTTGGCCCGATTCCAGAGAACATGTGTACAATGCCCGTTCCTTGGGATTTGAGCCGAAAGCACATGACCTCCCTTGTTTCTGCTGGCATATGATGCCTCAACTGCTGGTCAGGTTGACCTTGGTACATGTCTTGGTGTGTCATCACAAAGCATATTTAATTCTGCCCCCTTCTGGCGGTACCTCCGGTGTCATTGCCTGTATGACCTGGAGGGACCAGCTTCTTTACACGTCGTTCCCATGCTGTTATGTCTTTCTCTGTTTCACTTCTGTTTTATGATGGTGTTCTTTACGCATTACGAGACGTGCAGATGGTGCAGGGTGAGGGCACATTCTACGAGTTATGAGTACGAATGCTTCTTGCATGGTGCATGGCGCATGGAGGTAAAAAAAGGTCGACGGTCGCATCCATCTCTTTCGTGCTGCCTCTGTATGGCGCTCTCTGACTTATGCGCCCCAGCATCTGTCCTTGCGAGCTTGGCAGCAACGGCAAATCATGGTTGTATGAGTAATGGGTCACGGCCATGGAAAGCCTTGGAGGCTTTGGATCCGCAGGATCGAGGACGCACACAAGGAAAATGCAACATCTGCTAGGACGTAGGATCCTATAGGGTTGCGTAGCCACTGTAAGGCACGGTTACGAAGGGACGGGAGATGTACGGCGCACGAGCAAGCTAATGACGGCGGCCCCTTGTCTATTGTATGATTATGTAGTGCCTTAAAAGCGTGTGATAGTTGTCGAATGCAGGCGGCCCTTTTTCGTTTATCATGGTTCGTAGCATTTCCGAAAGTGATGTTTGGCGGGTCTCGACGCCATGGCTCGACGCGACTTTTGGCGTACATGTTGGTTACGTGGGCGTTGCCCGGGCCAAGACGAGCGACCAGCATCGCAGAATATCTGAGAAGGTGCTCGCACATGCAAAGAAGAGTAAAGAAGATCAGACGTGAGGTTCTTGTAAGCTCTTGCCGTCGGACGTGCTCCCGTGTTCCCCGCGGCCCAGGCGTCCCTTCTTGACTCAGGGTCCGGCGGCCAAAACTTTGGTTGATGCTGAACGGTGTCACGTCATCGCTTCACCCACGCGACACCCTGAAGCGTCCTGACCCCGACGCGGCTCGCATACACGCTCCATCCAGCATCCGACAGCATTGCGCATCCGGCGCTCTGTCGACAGCACACACCGGTCCCCATGGCGTGGTACGATCAGGACAGCTGGCTCACGGCAGCCTTCTCCCCAAACCTGTCGACTATCCTCATCACCTTCCTCGTCGCGCTCTGCCTGCCCATACTACTGCATACCGTCCTCTACAAGAAGGCAGCTGCAGCTGCGCAACTTCCCACCTTCCTGCTAGCCGGCCCAAGTGGCAGTGGAAAGACGGCCTTTACGACATTGGTAGCGTATCCCCCAAACCCGTGCTCCCGTACCGTCTAACAATTGCCAGGCCGAGCGCAACGCTACAACCCAAACGCACACGTCCACCACACCTCTCACCGTCTCCGCTCTCCTCCCCAGCCCACACGTCCCCGCGTCATCGCACTACCGCTCACCAGGCGATCCAGCCTTCGAGCGCTCTCGCAATTTCCTCCTCCTCGACACGCCTGGCCATGGCAAGCTCCGTCACTATGCGACCTCCCAGCTTGCCGACCCCAAGAACATCCGCGGTATAATATTCGTCGTCGACGCCGCTCAACTAGGCGACGAAGCAGGACTGAACGAGGCCGGAGAGTACCTTCACGACATCCTCCTCTCGCTACAGAAACGCTACACCAACGCTACCACAAGCAAAGGGCCAAAGGAGATCCCTGTCCTTGTTGCGGCGAACAAGATGGATCTTTTCACGGCGTTGCCCGCAAACCTTGTCAAGAACTCGCTCGAGAAGACAATCACCGAGGTCAGGAGTAACAGGGCGAAGGCGCTTCGCGATGCAGGTGCGGCGTTGAATGGTGGCGAAGATGAGGTAGACGAGGAGAAGGAGTGGCTGGGTGAGGGCGGCGAGGGCATGTTCACATTTGAGCAAATGAGAGAGAGCGGGACGAGTGTGACTGTGATTGGGGGTAATGTTCAGGCGGGTAAGGAGGGCGCTGATGTGGAGCAATGGTGGCAGTGGATTGCTGAACAGCTTTGAAGAAGCTACAGGTGGCCACAGAGGGTAGGATGGATCGAGGCTCGAGCGTGTACCTATACATCGATACCCCCTTCGTTGAATAATGGAATTAGTAGGTCCATGTCACCTTGATCAAGGTCATGACTAACGCGTGTAGATCATCAAGTTTGCTGTTGCACTTTTGAAGTCGTGAGGTTTTCGTGGCCTGACTGCCTCTTCCTTCGAGACCGAAGTGAACTTACGTCTATTACAGCCTCCAAGCGCATAGAATTAGGAGAGTGATATCCTTAACATCTGACAGTGCACGTCTTAGAACAGTTGCTCTTCTTCGCCTCATGCAGAGCAAAAACCACTCAGGATTTGTTGTTTATCTTGTTATTCGATGTATCCGTATGTCGTTACACGATTGTTCCGAGGCAAGCTCACGAATGAACCGAGTAACTGGTATCATGACCAGTCGACATGACCTCCCAAGATTGAGCAAGCAGCGCGTGAGCTTGCTCATCGTGGCCAAATGACTGGAGGCAAGCGCGGGAATAGAAAGTAAGACTTTGTATAAGAGGGTGAGTGGTTCAACCCAATAGTGCTCACCATCGCACCGGCGTCTCATCCTTCCATCGATATTTCACCAATCCGGACTCAAGACAGCAATACGAACAATGGCGAAGAAGTCAAAGGCTGCGAAGAGAGCACGAAAGGCCGAGTCGGACGCCGAAGCATGGAAGGCATCCTCCAAGACCGTGCTTGGTCGCCTTACCTACCGTCTAGAGGAATTACCCGATCTTCTGATTGTTCCTGTAAGGTTCTACTTTTTGAAGAAAATTGACGACAATGGTGATCCAGATTTCGGCTATGTGTACGCTCAGAAGCATCGAGACTCCGCGTGGACCGAGCTGTTCAACGACACTTTCGTGTATTTCAAGAATATCGCTGCTATCAACAAAAAGCCAGACGGGAAAAGCTACGAATCTCACCTCATCATTCCATGTCACTCGATGCGGGACGAAGACTTCTGGAAGAGCGTTCGCCCGGGTGACATACCCTTGAAAATCAAATTCCCCGAAGCCCCCCAAAACTCAAAAGATGTTCCCATTGAACGGCCGATGAAGTGCAGTACCATGGATAGTTTTGTGTTGAAAGGCAAAGATGAAGAAGATCGCAAGCTTTACTACAAAAGTCTCGGTCTTCTGATTCAGAAGCGTCACGCCACTATGTTCCCGCGCTCCAATATGCTCCGTATGGCCGGCGAATCCTTCCATAGTACTCCAAACGGGAGCAAAGCGATAACACCGATGGTGAAAGGATGCGCGACTCATCAGGGCAATGAAACACAGACACCTTCCCCTGCAGATGATCCGCATCGATCGAGCCACTCACCTTACTCACTTCGCATACGCAACTATCTATCGACTAATCTCAGGCAGAAACTGGTGCACCTGACATTCGACCTCACTTGTACCTTGCCAACTACATATGACAGTATGTACAAGGTACTGTTGGATGTTTTTGGCGAGAAGATCAACGCCGGGAACATTGACCGTCTGCAACCCGCTATCGAAGACCTTCTGATCGGGCTGCAAGTTCAGCGCAACTACTCCGCTACCAAATCAAAGACTACGGCAGGAAGCATCGAAACATGGTATAAACCGTTCCCGATCCGTGAGGTCGTCCAGGCTGTCGAAGTGACAGTTAAAAGCAAGAACAAGGCGAACAATGAAGATAAGGAAGTCCAGACTGTTTACGAATATTTCGAAGAGAGTAAGTCTTGTTTCATGAGACCGACGATGAATCACAGTAACTGACGCAGATGTAGACTACAATGACGGCAACGAGATCGAGCACCAGTATCTACCTCTCGTGGGTGATGGGCGCGGCTGCTACTTCCCCTTGACATATGTCAAACTGCCTGAGAAGACTCAGGTCTTCCCAAGGACAGCCGGTGTTCTAGCCCAGCCTCTTCAGACAGAGATTCATGAGCTCGATCTCCTGAACCCGAACGGTCCAAAATTTATGGAGGACATGGGCGAACGTGTCTGGGCCGAGTTGACGAAGGAGCGACTATATGATGAGGTAATTCTATCACCCACGCTCCGAAAATTTTGCTTACATGTTCACAGGATACAACCGAGTATGAAGCATCCGTGCTGCTCAAAAGGTCGGAGGACAAACAGGTCAGTGAGGGCGACCCATTGGACTTGGTACTCTGATCCTCTCGTTTCAGCAACACTGCTGATGCCTTTGATGGTGATGCAACCCAACAACTTCTTTGCAACATCTCGTCTTCTCGGTGGTATGGATGATTTCCTTTGTTCTCCAGCATTTTCCTTACTTCCGCGCCGGCTAGATGCACGCCGGATCTAGCTGTTGTGTCTTGGTAGCGTTCAGTCTCTGTTTCCTGGATTTGGTGTTGTCTCCCGCGTTACTTTCATAGAAAATCTAGCCCAATACACTCATTTGCAAAAACCCCCCCTTCTTTTTCGCCCTGCGAGATCAACCCTAGCTGCGGGGTGAGAGATCCAAGCACAGAGTACTAGTTGGTATATCGTACTGTCCGCTAGGCCGAACTCCTTGTCAAGAGTAAGAGCAGGCCGCGGCCGATCTAAGTTTCGTAGTTGCACGCGGGACGAAGAGATCGAAATTGGGAAGCAGATCGATAATAAGCTTACCGCTTGGTCAATGCATAAATTGTCTTTAGCAAAAGCCTGTTCAGATCACTTAGCGCAGTACTAAGTACCGTGGTGTCTCATTCAGGTCACCTCGTCCATGCGATCTGCTGCTTGTCTGCATGCAGTTTTGATTCCATCGCCCAGAATGGTATCGCTCGAGGCAAAGTACCGCAGTCTATTCTGCCAGAACTGCCATCTTTTCACCGTAATTCTATCTTCGCCGCCCTTGGCCCTCCACGAAGGACCGACTGGCGCTACAAAGTCCATCACACGGTCGTAAAGATCGTGACCCAGGAGTGACAGCCATTGTGTAGCTGCTGGGAGGTCTATGCTAGGCTGCGATGACCTGAAAGCCGCCCAGTCTTGGTCAGGTATGGTAGCAGAGCCATCGAAATGCTGCGTCACTTCATTGAGGCTGAGTTCGTGTTCCAGGGCACCAACAATTGGATAGCATGCCATGCCACGAAAGTCCATGTTATTTTGTGGCAGTGCACCTCGAATGTGGTAACAGCTAAGAAGCGCAGCGAACGTGTTGATGTTCTTGTAAAGATCTCTGACAGCTAGGACGACATCACCACTGACAATGCGTTCCGTCATTGATTCAGCCGTCCTCAACGTCGCGTCTTTGCGAGCTTCGGAGGTCATGAACTGCAAGCTATAGCACTTTGGACCTGGACCGAAAACTGTCAGCTTCTGAGACTTTTCAGCACGGCGGTTGTTCATGTCCATACCTTGCAAATAACCCACGAGCTCATGACCGAAGCCAGGTAAGTCCACAAAGCTACTGGTGCCCTGAACCGGCTCATCTGTATCGTACGAATACTCTGGTAAAGGGTATGACAAGCTCGCAAGCTCCACCACCAAGTCGGCCAATATCCTCAGTTCTGCTTCCGGCCATGTCTCGCCACGATGGCATATGGCGCCCCAGAGTATGCTCGCATCATGGGGTGTTGACGAGGAGCAATGAGCTGAAGTCAGTGAACCAAGCATATCTGCTGCTGCTCTGGGATTGATTCGGTGAGTGAGAAGATCTTGGAAAGTACATAGTATGTGTCCTTCTGTGGATGATGGATCTACGTCGCGGATAGCCTCCTCATCGGCGCGGGATAGACTTGGAAATAAAGGATCAACAGAAGCTCGGTTCAGACCTGGTCGAGTAGAGCTGAGAATGGCAGAGAGCTGTTCGTGGTTCCATCTTGCAGCCATGGATCGAATTAAGTTGATGTCAGAATATCACCAAAATGAACAGGCATAGAAGTGATGAGTGCTTGAGGTTCAGTTGCCACCATGTTGACGGTTGATAGGCTACCGAGATGCTGATTCATGGATGTTATGCATACCCACCACGTGCCTAGGCAGCTGACAGTGGCGGCGACGGCGTGAAGGTGGCGATTGAGCGTATCCGGCTGGCGTTGTGAGGATCTACTAGCGGTGGCTTGAGCGCGGCGGCTATTTGCGGGTCAGGCCATCGAGTTTGTTCTGCGCGACAACTTTGCATCCGTATTACGACATCTTCTTCGCCTTTGACGTGCGGGTACTCTCTTTACTTATACTTCCAGAAACTCTCACTATACATACTCCAGCATCCATACACGCCTCAGCACACGAATACCGCCACCATGTCTACCAAGACGCGCCCCGCCATCCCACCTGTGGTTATGGACAGCATAACGCAGCAGATTGGCAACACGCCCCTCGTACGCCTGAACAAGATTCCGCAATCCCTGGGCATCCGTGCCACCGTATACGTAAAGGTCGAAGCCTTCAACGCCGGCGGCAGTGTCAAGGACCGCATCGCGCTTCGCATGATCGAAGCCGCTGAGAAGTCTGGTCGCATAAAGCCCGGTGACACACTCATCGAGCCTACGTCTGGTAACACGGGTATTGGGCTGGCTTTGGTGGGTGCGGTAAAGGGATACAGAACCATCATCACACTTCCCGAGAAGATGAGTCCCGAGAAGGTGGCGGTTCTTAAGGCGCTCGGAGCCGAGATCATTCGTACCCCGACAAGTGCGGCATGGGATAGCCCCGAAAGTCACATCGGCGTCGCGAGGAGATTAGTCAAGGAGATCCCGAACGCGCATATCCTCGACCAGTACTCGAACCCCGACAATCCGCTCGCGCACGAGTGCGGCACAGCCGAGGAGGTGTGGACACAGACCGACGGCAAGATCACCTGTCTTGTTGCTGGTGCAGGAACTGGAGGCACGATCACAGGCCTAGCGCGCGGTCTGAGGAAACACAAGCAGGATGTCAAGATTGTCGCTGCCGACCCACACGGCAGTATACTCGCACTCCCTGCGACCCTGAACGACGAACGTGTGAACGAGGGCTACAAGGTTGAGGGAATCGGATACGACTTCATCCCTGACGTCCTGGAGCAGAAGATTGTGGACAAGTGGTACAAGACAGACGACCGGACATCGTTCTTGTACGCGCGCCGGCTGATTTCTGAAGAGGGCATTCTTTGCGGTGGTTCGTCTGGTAGTGCGATGGCTGCCATGGTCGAAGCCGCGAAAGACATGGACCTCACCGACGATGATGTTGTCGTCGTCATCCTCCCCGACAGCATTAGAAGCTACCTTAGCAAGGTTTGTCATCTTTCGTCCTATGCTACTGTTCTGCCATACTAACGTATCATAGTTCGTCGACGACGACTGGCTTGCAGCAAACGACCTTCTCCCCCCTACGCCCCCTCTAACACCTAACACAAACGGCGCAAACACTCGTCGTCTCTCCACCACCAAGCAGGCCGACGCTTTCCACGGCGCCACCATCGCTTCCCTACGACTCAAGCCCGTTACCACCGTTCCCTCGAACTCGCCCTGCAGCGAAGCCATTGAAACAATGCGTGAGAAGGGTTTCGACCAACTTCCCGTTAGCACATACTCTTCCGGCGGCAAGGCGCGTCTTGTCGGTCTAGTGACCCTCGGCAACTTGCTATCCTACATCGCTGCCGGTCGTGCCACACCAAAGTCGCCCGTCGAAGAGGTCATGTTCGATTTCCGCAAATTGAACGAGGTCGTAAAGGATCTTGGACGCCTCTCGCTTGACGGCGACAACGCGAAGAACACACAAAAGGGTGGCAAGAAGGGACGAAGGGAGTTTGTTGAGATTACCAAGGAGACCAGCTTGAGCGATCTGAACAAGTTCTTCGAGTGGAACAGCGCGGCTGTTGTCACTGAGCGCGTCGATGGCGAGCCAAAGGCCGTTGCTGTTGTCACAAAGGTGGATTTGCTATCCTGGATGGTCAGACAGGGAAACACTAATGGGCACTCCAACTAGATGGGCTAAAGATGATGGAACAGGATGTACATGAAGACATAATTGAACACGAGACACGCATATCAAACCTTTAGCGAGAGAAAAGTTGGCGATATTCATATTGAACCGGAAGCAACGGAGTTACAGGCATGGTACAACTCAACTTAGATGGCATTCGTCTGGTACGTCAGGATAGAAGTGCGAGACCTCAACGTCTATAAACAACAGCTATGAAAGACTGCAAAGAGACACTCTTTTCGTTCATAACATGCCTACGCTATTGCCATCATAATTTCCCTCAACTTGCCCGCCGCCGCGCCATCCAAGAACTCCATACTCTTCTTGATGCCCACTTTCCCGTCACCCATTTCTTCCATTTCCATCATCCACAGCAAATCATTCTCCACTATCTGTCCCTCCGTCGCGCCTTTCGCCTGCATCATGAAGCTGATCCGCAGGATAACCTTCATCTTGACTGGATCGACAATAACGTCGGTGACATTGGATTTCCAGGATTCAAGTCTGGGAAGCATGGATCGTAGATGGGAGAAGAAGCCGTCGAGAGAATGCGTGCCTTGGATAGGCGGGGTGAGAGAAACGGCGTAGTTGTGGCCCCATGAGTGTTCAAAGGAAGGGGCGCAGTAGGTACGCATGAGATCGAAGTCCATGCGTTCTGGAGAATTCGTGTCGAGTGTTTGGGCTCTGATGAAATTGAGCGCTGTGTCTCGGAGGATTGTATAGGTGGGCAAGGCAGATGTCGCCGGGTCTTCTGGGGTGTGGTTGCTCATGGTGATTTTGCTGTTTCGTTTTCAAGAGATGGAGATTTACGATTGGGACTCTTGAGATGGATGGAAGATACGACTGTGGCTTGCTTCATTAAATGCGGAGAATTACCAGTGCTACATGATACATGCGGATCCCCACGGTACGCCACGGAATAGGGTTCAATTGTCCCGAAGAACGGGAAAGTCATGAACTTTAAGTTTATGCTACTGTTTGAAGTGGGCGCATATGCTGAAGACATGGGGCACGCTTGTTTTGTCTCCAGGAAAAGTTGGTCGTTGAGTGAGCAAGGTACCCTCGCGGGTGCTCCCGTTGCTCCACAATGTCCGTCCAATCAGCTGAACGACGACCGTGACGTCGAAGTAACAGTCGGAGACAACGAATGATTGTGACCTAGCTGGTGAAGTATCGCGCAACTGTAAAACCATCGAATTGAATGCAGAAGAGACGCGATGGTGGGAGGGTCGTGTCGCCGAGCGACAGATGCACGAATTACTTTCTGTTGGAAATGTTGGCGTTCTGGCGGCGTTAGGTATCAAAGTCAAAGTACTGAGAAGCGATGAGATGGATGGATCCGAATTGAAGTGCGGCATATCGAAGAGCTGGTGTTTGGGATGAGCTGAGCGACTAACTTACTTACCACGTCAAACGCCATAGCCTATCGGGGCAGAGACCCATATCACCTGTTACTCTCCAAAATCGCCCCATAGACCTGTACTATCATTGCTGCACGCTTAGAGGTTGTGTGGTCTGGCTCCAGAAAGCCACTGGATTGCGTCCGATGAGAATTTCATCCAACACTGGGATCCTATTCTTCGGCTACCTTCCGGCAATGGCAGACCCACTGATTACGGCTCTGTAGTGGCAATGTCCTGACGCAACAGCCTGATCTCATCGGAAGAATCGTTATCCCGGGTGTAAGACGGCATAGGTATCAACACGCTCGTTCTATTCGCAGGCTGGAGACTACTCGGCCGGGAGTTCTCGTCACTTCTGCCCTGATCGGCTATCTGTTGCACATAGAGTCTCAGTACCACAGGTACATAGCCGGCAGTTGTTTCGAGACGGAGGAGGAGAACGATTGGCGATTACGGTCGAGGAAGCATCCATCGAAGCAGTATAGTGATACAGGGAAATCCCGACGTATCTTAAGTGATTGTGTACGTGGTTTCGAATCGAACGCGATGAGGGTGAGGTAGGTTCAACCGAAGGAAGGGTGATCGATGCCAGCGAGTGTAGCGATCGTGGGAGGGACGGTCGGTACTCATGCGCGCTTCGAATAATGAGTCGGTCCTAGGCCGTTAGCTTTTACGATCCTACGGTCTGCTTCTGAGTGAAGGCAAGCCATGGAGAGTGCGCTGTTGCATGGTACAACCGCTGTGACGTGGGTGCAGGGAAACGCAATCAGTGAACTGTTGCAATCTTTCCACATTGTTGTAACAGGAGAACTGACACATGGCGGAACTGTCGGAAGCGTCGATCTGATGGACGATGCCCGTGCGTTGCGAGAGTGGTCAGGTGGACTCGACGTATGCGTAACGTCACTGAGAAAGGATCGCCGGTCGGTAAAGCTTGTGGAAGAACGCGTCGTACACATGGCTGAGGGTTGTTACCCCAGAAAAGGTGTTTCGAGGTGTCGTTGGGACTTGTACACTGAGGAGGGCGTGTCCACTTGGGCAGCCAGCGGGAGCCAGTGTCTTAGTACGCG